GCATTTCTTCCAAGGTGCCTCTGGGTGTGTGTGTGTAGGAATTTGAACCATCAAACTTTTGTTTAGTGGCCAAGCACTTAACTGTTTCTACCATCGAGAGACTCTGGTATTATTGGCATGAAGACAGACATAAATAGATCAATAAGGAACAAAGAGTCCAGAAATAGACACACGCATGTATGAACAACTGACTGTCAACAAAGGTGCAAAGTGAAAAAAGTATACTTTCAACAATTGGGGCTGGAACAATTTGATAACCATATGCAAAAGAAGTGAACTCCAATCCATACCTCACACCATATACAAAACTTAATAAAAATGTTATCAGACCTAAATGTAAAACCTAAAGCCAGGTAGAAATTAATGAATTAAGTGAAAACAAATGGAACTATTTATTCAGAGCTTGTTATATATATAGGAAGGGACTCAACTTGCAGTTGGCAGAGATTCAAAGGCAGGCAGAAAATGGGGAAGTTTTATAGTAAAAAAAAGGTATGATTTCAGGTATGCTCTGATTGGAGGTTGTTGGCATGAGGAAGCTGAAGGCAGGCTAACTGGAAGCAAGTCATCCTATGTGATTGGTTTGGGGAACATTTTTGGCTTTCTTTGGCTGATCGTAGGAGCTCTGGTAGCGTAGTATCTCAGGCACTTGACTGCTAACCAGAAGGCTGGCAGTTCAAACCCACCAGCCACTCCTTGAAAGGAAGGTTGAGTAATCTACTTCCGTAGTGATATCGCCTCGGAAACCCAAGGAGGGGTCGTTGTGAGTCGGGTCTGACTCGACAGCAAACAACAACAACAACGGCTGATCCTGAGTTGGAAGTGGGGGCAGAAATTAAAGAAGCTAGCAGTTATTGTTCGTGTTCGTGTTGCTGTAGAGGTTGTGGTTTGGCTTCCTGGGCTGGTTGCTACAAAGGTCATGCAGTTCTAGTTTTATAAATGACATGGCCATTGTCCGTGTGGATGTTCAGTCTCTCAGCTACAAAATTTCTAGAGGGAAAGATAGGAGAAAATTTTTTTGACTTTGAATTAGGCACAAATGTGTTAAGAGATGACATTAAACACACAACACATAAAAGACAGACTTGATACTTA